GTTTGCTACATCAAAGCCCAGTTTGTGCTGCGAGAGGATGATTTCTCTGGTATATTTACACTTGTAAAGGAAGATTTTTTCCCCCCCCTTGTAAATATCACGGCACTTCTGTTGCTTCTGTGCTGGCCCATCTGTGCACCATTTTCACTTGTACTGACTCATGTTCACAGAGTAGTAAGAACTGTCTATAAGTGTTTTAATTTCTTAGTTAGAGTGGGGCCATTTTGCTTTCCTGCTTAGCTTGGAGGCAGATATGTGCTGGAGTTTCTTTTTCCTAATGACATCTCTGGACTCTATTGCACTGGTAAAAATTTTAATCAAGTAATTTTCACTTTTCTGTTCAGATTTTTCAAGACTTCCTGTGTTTCTAGGGTTTGCTCTCTGCAGCCAGATGTGCTTTCTGCCTGTTTTCTGCATGGCCAGAAATCACTGTACCTCTGAAAGCAGGTACAACACCTTTAGCCTGTCATAAGGTTTCAGCTTCAGATATGCCTGAAGAAGGAATCTTTAGGTTGTTCATGCAGGTTGCATTCAGCCCCCTTGCACTGTGCTGTGCTCTTTATTGTGAGTGATCATGTACTCATTTTCTCCACTTCTGTCTCACTGTAGAACAGACCTCTGTAGAGACACCTGTGGCTGTTCTCAGAGTAGACAGAAGCTATTTACTGAACTGCTTTTGAACATTTTGACTTGTTTTTGCTGCTCCATGTGCACCCCGGGTTATCTTCACTGCCTACAGGTGAGACCTTGCTCTGTGGCCAGGCTCATTTCAGCAGCTGTTTCTCCTGTGCTCGCTGAGATGTCGTGTCTGTGTCCTGCTCAGCTTGACCTGCCCCCAGCTCTCTTCTGGCCTGATACCTCGCAGCCAAAGGGCACGTTTGCAGTGAAAGCTCTGCAGGCCCTGCAGCTGCAGAAGTGTCCTTGGTCTCTGCTGGATTCTGTGCGTGTCCTTTCCCTCATGTCTGGCACACTGCGGCACCAAGCTTGCTCAGCACTGAGGGGAGTCAGAGTTAAATGTGTGTATGTATGTGTGTGTATGTATATACATACTTATACGTGTTTAAGTCTGAGGCTGAAATTGGCCAAATTGTGATTCTTCTCTCCCTCCCTGACAATATGAAGAGATGTGTTTCACAACAGTCAAGTCTGCCAGTATTTCAAAGTGCTGCTTTTAGAAGCATGGAGTTGTGAGAAGATTTCAGTAAATTACAAAAAGACCCTTTTAACAGGGGCAAAAGAGAGTCTTTTTCCTTAAATATATTCTTGGGAGAGACACAAGCCATTTCAGCCAAAATGAGAGTTTAGCCTGAGGCTGAATCCAGCTGGAGAAATTTTCAGCCTAAACAATTAATTATAGATGAAGTTATGAGCAACCAAAACTGGAGTTTGTACAACAGTGTAATTACAGCAGTGCTTTAAACTCTGGAACACTGGCACTGGAGTCAGTGCAGGTTCTGGGGTGGCTCTCTCAGGAAGGACTTGCAGAGCTGTCCTTCAAACCAGATAAACTCTGGCTTGCTTTTTTGAGGGAATAGGAGCAAACATTTCACATCAGAAATAATCTGCTGCTGAAAGATGAATTAACTGGTGACCTTCAGAGCACTGTCTTGTCTGTATTTGGAGTTTAGCCAGGGTCAGGTTTAACCAGGCTATTATGTTCCTGTTGCACGTGGGAGGTTGTGATGAAGAGGGAGCCTCCTATGACAGGGAACAGCTCAGGCACAAGGAGCTGGGATGGCAGAGATTAATGGGGCTGCATCCTGCTAGCAATATCTCCATCTGAACAAGGCTTTCCTGGGAAACTGGAAGGTAACCTCCTGATGGTGGAGGCTGTCTGTTGTGAAAGAAGCTCCTTGCTTAGCAGGGAGAGCACATCGTGACTGCAAGTGTGCCCTGAATGAGTGATTCCTCATGGAGATGCTCGTGCCACACACAAACACGTTTTAGAAGCTTGCACATGGGGAAATATTCTTGACTCTGGCTGCTAAATTGAGCTGCTTGTGAACCCTTTCAGCAGTAGAGATAGTGCTGACAAATAGTCATCTCTGGTGATGAAAGGAGTGCAGGTGAGAGGAAATTTTGTGGGAGGAGATCCTGCTCTGAATTCCTTGTGGAAACCATAATTATGTGATTCAGTGTAGAAAGGTAAGAGGGTTTCCAGTGAAAGCTATGAAAAACACTTAGGGAAGCAGCCTACAGATGAGGCTGCTCATTTAGACCTTATCTATTCATGTGGGAGCGTGGAAACCTTAGCACTCTGCCTTATCTCCTCTCCCCCGGGAGATCAGTGCTGAGAGTCTGACCTCTCCCTTAGCGTTTCAAATCAAACCTGCAGTAATAGTGGCTTTGGTCATGCACTGCCTCAGTCACTTAATGAAATAATCTTTTTCCCTGCCCTTCTGGGCAGAAATATGTCTTGCCCAAATTCCACTTAAGTGGTACCTGGAGGATAGCTGTAACAGAGCAGAGCAGTGGCAGAAACATCCTCCCTCACTCCCTGCAGGCTTTCCCTGCAGGTGCACAGCTTGGGATGTTCAAGGCAGTGGAAGTTTGACTCTCTCACTGGGACAGTTCCTGTGTTTATGAAGAGGATCCCTGTTTTCTCTTGCTCCTGGGCTTCTGCAGTTCTCTGCAGGTTTAAATTAGCTTTGATTCAATGTTTATTAAAAGCAGTCAGTGCAAGGAGAGTCTCAGATCTGGAATGGATGTTCTCCAAAAACAAGGGCACCTCGGTGCCAGCACAGGGGTATCCATCCAAACAGCTCTCAGCCAGAGCTGGCCAGAATCTGTTTTGCTTTCTCACACTTGGAGCTGGTATATTTTAAAGGATATCAAGCAGTAAATGTGGCAAAGGGGAAAAATTGTTACAGACTGTATTTGGCAGAAACCCAGCAAAGATAAAATACCATACGTTCTGTGCAATGAGCTCCTGCATAAATGATTCATTCACCAGAACACAGCTGGGGTCAATGTCTTCTATTTGAATAGCCCAAAGTTATGCAAATATTTTATGTGGATTTTCTAAAAAAGGGGGGAAAAAAGACAATATATAATGTTCCAATAAAAAAGCTCTTTATCTAAGTAACTTTTAAGAATCCCACAAGAACAGTGTCACCATGTTATACACATATATACAGCAGCAAATGACAAGATATGCCCTAGAGATGCAAACTATGAAAAGATTGCTTGTTTTCCTTTGTTTTGCCAGCCAAATCTGTGTTACAAATTGTGTGTTTTGGAGATCACACTATTTCAAAATATCAAACTGCTAATTAAAAAAACTACTCAAGGAAACTTTCCAGTAGAACAATATATGCTGTGGGATAATAGTAGTCACTATTTCTTTAATGAGTTTCTTGCCTAACCAGAATTTCTTACAATACATTCAGTTAGATTATTATGAATCACATGTGTATTATTTCTGATTTGGTATTAACATAAAAACTTCTGATGAACCGTAGTATTACAAAAACAGGTCTAGTGTATAGGATGGCAATGTCATTCCTGCTGATAAAAGACTGGAAATGAAGGTTCTAATGCAGCAATACAATTTAATGCTTTAGTTTCTAGACTTAATTTGCAAAGGTGCTGGGAAACGAGAGGTCCAGCTGAAGCCATGAAGGTCAGGGTGTCTCTGGATGGTCAGGTGTGTCAATCCACAGCTGGAGCATTGCTCTGCAGTGCAGCATTGCTTTCTGTGGGATCTGAATCAGCAAAAGGTCATGGGAGGGAGAAACCTTTCTTGGTGGTAATCTTGTAACATAGCTGGTTGAGAGAGCAACTTGAGATTTTCTTAAACACTTATATTTTGCTGTGGTAAAGGAATTTAGCAATGCCATCCAAGGAGACAGTGTATACAAGACCTGTGAAGTGATGCAGGTAGATCAAGTCAAGGAAAGAATAGTTTAGTTGTGTAGCAGAGATAAGAGTAGAGAACATAAGATACCTCTTAAATCCCTTCTTTCCCATTCTGTGAGAGTATGGTGGTGAAGATACTCCTTTCAGGTTCTGAATACAAGTTGACATAATGAGGTGATTTTCCAAAAATATTCCAAGAAGGTGTATAGCTTTTTCAGTGGCTTGTTGGTGGTATCTATGTGCCTCATTTGGTATTCTTGAAAATCCTTCCTTCCTTCTGAAAAGCTTCTCTAGTGTCTATTCTATTTTCACTGGTGAACAAGAATGACTCCTTGATCTTGGGTTTTGCATTTGCAAATAGCCATTCTTTGTATTCCCCTCAGATGAAGAGAGCAAACAACAATCTAAAGCAAAGAATGCAAGAGCTTGTGAAGTATAAAAGTGAGCTTTTCCTCCTCATATGTTTGGAGAGGCTACCAGACATTGGATAAGTAGTCCTTGATGAGTCCTTGGTTTGAATTGTAGCATCTGACCACACAGCCACGTTCCACCTGTGGAAGGATTGTTCCCCACCTGCCTCAAAATTCTCTCTTGTAGCCTCTGAATGATTTAGGCTTTTCTTTGTCATCAGATGAAATGATAATGATCGTGTTGGGATAATGGCTTTGGATTCATCCACAGTAAGTCCTCATGCTGGTTTCCATGACTTTTACTCACTGGAGCCAGACTTGGCTCTAGTGTTTAATAGGCAAGCCAAAATCTCAGTCCAGTCACTCTGCCCTGAGCACTTCCAAAATGTGGGTTGGATGTACATTCTCTCTGCTGAGCAAATCATTAGTCAGTGTTTTAAGAAACAAATAAATGTTAATAGTGGGAGGTCTCCAACACAGAAGACAAATCAGGGAAGAAAAATGGAAAGGATCAAAGACCAGTATACCTGTCTGCCCTCACTGGAGCCATCTTTAGGTGACTTCTCTCTCTCAGTCTGGAAGGCAAAGTATTGGATCTGAGAGTTGCTGGTGTGGGAGGCTGTTGACATCTGGATGGTGGAAAGTGTAGAGACAAGAAGTTGGTGAAAGGCAGCAAGGGACCACAGAGTCCCTCACCACTGACCACGTTTTCCCTTGTTTTCCTTTGTTTAGTGATGGTTATTCCTGCACCTCCTCAGATGCCCTCCCCTCTCCTGCCTTCTAGAGCATTGCTCTTTGCATCTCAGTGGATTTATTCTCCTCCTTATCTAATTTTAATTAAAGCTCCTATCTCCCCCCACCACGTAATCAACTGAAGAAAAATGAGCTGGTAAGTCATTGTTTTTACCACTTTGGCAGCAAACAAATGTTATGTCTGGCATGCTCGGCACCAAGTCAGAAAATGAATCAGCAGCTGTTGTGACAGAAGCTTTTTCCTGAATGGGGAAACAGAGAAAGAAAGAAAACAGGCCAGGGGGAGGTTTGTGCAGTGGGCACGGCCAGTTCCCATCACCACGAGGAATGTCTTTGCCCTTCCCTGGGGAAGGTGTCCCTGGAGAGGCCCCTCTCACCCCCAGCATGGACCAGGAGCTGTTTTGTGACTGGGGCTGGATGGGCTCTGATGCCCCTGGCTGTGCCTGGGAGGGGAGCAATGGGATGAGGTGGTTTAGGGAAAGCAAGAGTGACCCAAATCTTTGCAGGCCTTCCTGAAAGCCCCACTCCAGCCAGGCAGGCAGTGTGACCCCATACAGATGCACTGAACGAGAAACACCTATTTGTCCCTGGATGGCACTATGGCATGGCTTGCTTTGTGCCCATCCATGGGAAAAGGATGAATTATTTCTTTGTGTCTGGATGGACTTGGATCATATTGAATTGTTTTAAGCAGTAACCTTGCATGCATTATATACAGCATGATGTGAGCTGCAAGGCCTTGGAGGAGAGAGTGGTTTATGGTACCCCTGATCCCCCTCATCCTTTTGTTTTACCTGTTGGTTAACTTGTCATCTTTGGCATCTGCTGATTCTTCTACTACCAAACATTTGGGGGCACGTGAAAAATGCTTTTGACTAATATTACGGCCTTGTTAATATATTGCAAACTATTTCTACAGGAGCAGCATTAAAGTTTTATCTGCTAAATAAATATTGCCAGGCTAAGCTAATATACAAAGCAGGTCTGGAAAAATTACAACCATGAAGCAGGCACAGGATCCAGCTGAAGAGCTCTGCTGTTCAACTGGATGATGATCAACACTGGAGCTACAGCAGGTTTCTCTGAGGCAGAGAACCAGCTCTGTCTCTCCTGGGAAAAGGCAGCTTTTGCTAGGGCACTTTTAAAGGCAATAACAGACAACTGAGCCAGCTGAGCTGGTGACTGCAACCTGCATGGCTTCAGTAAAGTCCAAAGGGACAGTGTGTGGTTGCTAATCAGGGCAGAGGTTGTCCTGGGTTTCTGGAGACAATTGTCACACTATTTATAGCTTCCTTCATGCCAAACAGACGAGCAATATGTTTGTGCTTTCCCTGTCCCTATAAATTCCCTCCTCACCTCTGAAAAATATGCCCACCCTGTCATGTGCCCCATGGGTCAGAGCAGGGATTTCTTCTATGACACAGCTGCAGGGACTCTCTCTGCCTCTGGTTTCCTCTTGCTGAGTGTGCAGTGTTGTTTGCAGTGCAGGACAAGGCCTTGCCAGAAACCCCTCCTAGTTTTGGTTGGGTTGGTTCAGGGTGGGATGGGTTGTTTTATGTAGTATGACAGAGCACAATGATTATGAGAAGAATAAAGCTGTGGGCCAGGTCTGTCTGACATTTTGTGTATGGACTGACACGGTTTTTGGTGAAGCTCCAAATTTCTCTTTCAGTTCCCTTTACACCAGTAATTCTGATCCAGTGAAGCACTGGTTTGTCTGAGTCATAAAAAACCTGAAGTCCTGTGAAAACACCGGTCACAAAACACCCACAGCTCCTCCTGGCCACCCAGCCAGAGGAGCAAAATGTGGTACTGAGAGCCTGTCCCACCACAGTCACAGGTGTTTTTATAGAGACCTGTTATTGACTGGTGGAAGCACTGATGTGACAGTCACAGCCTCAGACATACCAGTACTTTGAGTCCTCAATTGCCCAGTTTATGTAGGGAAAGAACTTGAGGAAGACTGCTCTAATAGGCATGGTTACTTTTGCTTTAACTTTGCTTTTGTCTTATGACATGTATGGCTGCTGGATTTATAATCCACCAGGAGGAACCCATTAGACTTCACTTTCTAAGAACACTGCTTTTTATTATCATATATATCATTTATTTTCTCATCCTGATCCTGCAAAACTTTTACAGCCAGATGCTGTGGTGCTCTTGTTGCAGTAGCTCAAGGGACTCCAGCCCTGCTGGAGCAGGACAGGACCCAGTGACAGCCTGACATTGCCCCAGAGGCTTCTTAACTCCTGGATAACTTCATCCTCAGCTGCTGAAGGTAATGGGAGGTGGACCAGTCCTTCAAAGTAATTTCACCTAAATCATTCCTGAGTGGGCTTTAAGGTAATTGCAAAGGTGAAAAGGAGGGAAATGTTTACTAGTGGTGCTGTGCCTGCAGAGGTGGCGTGGAGACACCTTTTTCAACCTGTATTTAAGATATATTGTGTCTGATGCTGAAGGTGTACCTGCAGCTTGCTTTACAGGATTTACTGAAGTCACTCCTGATTTGCTTCAGGCTGTGATTATGTGAGGGGAAAATAAAGTTCATGATTTGTCCTAAGAATCAAAATCAAAGCTAAAGGCAGGAAAGGTGCAGTGAGGTTTGGGACTGACTGTCTGTGAGCCCCAGCTCTCTCCTGACCAGAGGCAGGGTCCATCTCCTCCAAACACATCCCACTGGCTGTGCTGGCAGCCCTGGGCTCTCTCACAGCAGCAGCCTGGCCATGGCTCTGCCATTTTTCAGGGATTCAGGATCAGGCTGGGGCTCCTGCACAGCTGCAGTGCCTTGCCCCTATTTTATGTTCACTGAAAGATTTTTGAATGGACTTCAGAAGCCATTAGGAACCCAAATGTCGACTTGCACTTGCAAAATGTCTCTGGTTAATGTTTTCCTACTGACGCTCTGCTTTGCTCCCCGCCTGCCAGAGTTTCCTGTGACCTATTTGAAATATCACTCTCCTAAGTGAAAATGTGCCTCTCTTTTTCAAACTTGCAAAACTCACAAAAATAAATAGCCTAATTTGGCCAGTTAATAGCCCTCTCCTGGGGCTCCTCTCAGCAACTAAGAGGCCTTTTAAATACAACATTTGTGACTGCGTCATTAAAGCTCTGCATGATCCAAGCAGACTAAACCAAAAAGAAAGAATTGCCTTATTTGATCTAAGTTTTCTTTTCTTTTAAATAGTGACACTAGAGACCCATTTATTTTTAATTACACAATTGCTTTATTAAAAGCCTAAATCCTGCAGTCCCTAGTCATTGCTCAGGCAAAACTGTTATCATTGAAGGAAGGACCTGTAGGAGTCAATCCTAAAAATAGGGCAGCTGACAAAGTGCCTTTCAAAATGAGCTTGCTTTATTTTTGAAGTATTTCCCAAGTCAAAGAGAACTTGCCTTTGCTTTGCTTTTCAGCTCTGCAGCAATTTGAAAACGGAATCCAGGAAAACAGTCACTCCAGAAAGCCAAATCACTCCCAGTTTTCCTTTCAGACTGGCTCTGCTGCCCTTTTTACCCTGAAACACCACCCTCTACAGAGCCACAGCAGTATTTACTGGCACGAGATATGCATGGGAGTTCACAGAATCATGTAATCTCCTGCACTGGAAGAGACCCACAAGCATCATCAAGTCCATCTCCTGACCCTGCACAGGACAGCCCCAGAATCACAGAGTGTTCCTGAGAGCATTAGTCAAATGCTTCTTGAGCCCTGTCAGGCTTGGTGCTGTGACCGTTTCCCTGAGGAACCTGTTCCAGTGCCCAGCTCCCCTCTGGGTTTGGGAAGCCCACTTGGAGTCCTGCAGCACCGCTCTGCAGCCCTGCCTCACCTGTGGGAAGCAAATCCAGCTGCTGGGAGTCTGGCAGAGGGCAGGACTGATCCTGTGCCACTGATCCTGTGTGACACAAATGCATTTCTGTGCTTGGACTCTGAAGGACAGCTCTCCTGGCTGGGTTAAGGCTGTGCTGCCAGCAGTAGGAGAGTGAGCAGGCTAGCCAGCCACATGTACTGGGTTATATTTCTGGGCTAAACTCCAGAGCCTTCAATTTTATTATCTAATTACCCAACCAAACTCATTCATCTTTATTTTTCAGTCTTTCCCACAGATCCCAGTTAAAATGCAGCTTTGCTATCTGAAGTGCTGCCCAGGCACTCTCTGCTTGGAAAAATTCATGGTTTCTCAGCTTTATTCACTCAGACTGTGTTTTCTTAGTGTAAAGGATGAATGGCAGAAATCCCAGCCCTGATCAGCAGCAGAGGTCTACACCAGGCTGTGCTGAGAGGAAGGTGGCTGCATTGTCATGGGCAGCTGTACCAGGGGAAGCAAGAGAAAGAAAATAAGCCTCTGCTTAAATGTAGGCTTCATCCCCAGTGAGACTTGTCATTAGATTGCACTCAGGGCTTTGTGGCATGGCTCACTGCAATGTCTTCATTGCAAAGTATAAACACCAAGAGTTAGTAAATAAAAGCAACAGGGGGAAAAACTGCACTCCAGAAATTAATGAAACATCAGGAATACATCCCTGGACAATGGAGTCCAAGGGGGAAGAATACTGGTGTCCCATCCTTTTTCTCTGCAGGACATGAGCCCTCCTCTCCATATGTTACTGTCGTGTAGATGTAATCCGTGTCCCATGCTGGGGCAGAGCCTCCTGCTTAGCATAACCCTGCCCCTGGGAGGGGCTTATCTTGAAAATATACTCTCTTTTCTGTGCTCCTTGCCTTTATTTCCTAAGGGAATGCACATGCTGGCAGGTTCGGGGGGCATTCAGATACGGTAAACTGCTACAAAGCAGAAGAGCTTCACGCAGACCTCACAGTATTTCTGTTTGCTCTCCAGGTGGCAAGGACTGGGCAGGGGGAGAGAGGGGAGAGGTGGCAGATGCTGTGGAGCATGAGGCTGCTGTCTTGCCAGCTTGCTTTGGTCTGAGGGAGGAGATGTGGGAGGGAAGCCCTCATGCAGCCTTTCTCCCTCTGAGGCCCCTTGCAGACAGAGTCCTCCTGGTGCTGCCTCCCAGCCCCAGCAGGAAACCCACTGGATTTGGGGGGCTGTGCCTCATGGAGGGCTGGGGCAGAGGCACAGATGCTTTTGTTCAGTCTGCCCTCCTGCCCATCAGCAGCCAGCAGAGCCAGGATGAGCACAGCAGGATCCTGCAGGAAATGTTGGTACTGTGCTGTGCCCAGCTGTGCCATGCAAAGAGAGCAGGACCTGCTCCGCAGGGCAGTGAAGCTGAAGAAGTTCCTGTGTTGCAGCCCAGGCAGGTGTGTGATGGGAAGGACAAGTCTAAATTCATTGTGAAGGAAGGAACCTTCTGGAGCAGAGCGTAGCAAGACACCAGGACACCGAGCAGAAGGGAAAATGGAGATGGGTTTGGTCAGGGCAAGGGAATGAGCATTGTCAGAGAGAGCTACTGCCTGTGGTGATGGAGTGCTGAACCCTCAGAGTGCCTGGTAAAATCCCATCCAGCTCCTAGGGAGTGCTGTGCTCTTGCAGGCTTCACTCATGGACTCCTTCACATGAGGCCACAATTCCACTCATCCTGCACCTCTGGTGGCACCTCTGGTACTTCTCACGTTAGCTCTACCTGCTCGGCTTTCTCCAACCACACACCAGCTGACTTCATCTTCCCAGGTGTTTCTTGTGATCTCTCCCATTCTAGCTTTTACCCTTGACCACAAGCAGCCTTGGAACAATTAACACCTTGTGCTCCTACCATCTTATGGTTTACAAGGCAGCTGGTTACTAGGGCAACAACTGCACCTTTTTCTTTCAGTGTATTGACTGAAAATCAACATTTTATATTAAAGGAAAAGAAAAATAATATTCTCTCAAGCCACAGTGAGTTACAACACCATCTCTCCTGTAATCAAGATATTGCTGAATTATGGTGCTATAAACAAACACTTCTGATATAACCACAAACACTGTGGGACATGTAACACATTGGCAGTATATTTCAAGTGACAAACTCATTTATTGTGGGGAGTGGAGGGAGAAAAACACCTTTCCAGAAGCCACAGCAAGGAATTACAGCAAAGAATGACCAGAGCTTAAGGGTACAGGCACAAAGTAATTCTAACACCCTGGCTGGAATAAAGCATTTCGAAGTATGAACAAGATTAGAGCAGCAGCAGTAGTACAGGAGGTGAGGATACAGGTGATTGTCCCCTTTCAACTGGCATAAATCATGATTAATTCCATAGCACTTAATAGAACTACCATGCTGTGAGGCTGGTGTGAGGAGGGGCTGGGATGTGAGCCCACAGCTATCCCATGACCTTTGCAGGCCGGTGTGGAGCTTCCCTGCTTGCAGGTGGCACTCAAGTAACAATCATGAATCATTAAGGTACATAACTATCTGGGAGATCAAAGAGATCAGGAGCTTGTGGTGAAAGTAGCTCGTGCCAGATGCTGTGGAGGCAGAGAACAGGCGGGGAGCTGCTTGCCAGAGATTTCATCTCTTGCTGTGTTCCAGGTGGCTGCTGGGTCACTTTGGTCAGTGGGATTGGAAGAAAGCCATCACCTGCCTCCTGGATGGTCTGCCAGCCCTGGTGTGTGGTGAGTTCCAGCTCAGGAGACTTCTTTGCCCAAACAGGGTGATTTTTGTGTTCTGTTTTACTATGCCACAGTGTGCTGGGCTGTTTTGGTGCTGCCCAAGTTGTTAAATACACGTGGGCTGTCAGTAGTTCCTCTCTGGGCTGTGAGTGGGGGAAGCAGGATGGGCTGGGCAGCTGCTCAGTGTCTCCTCAGTCACATACAAAAGGACATCTGTGCTGTGCAGTGGGAAACAGGGGTATTGTCTCCCTTAGCAAACCTGGCCCCTGGAAAAGATAATGTACATAACCCTCTCTGGATATGGTGCATGCATGGATCCGAGCGTGACAGAGCACTTGTGATCAGGAACTGTCAGTGCTCAAAGCTTGTTGAATGTCTGGTAACTTCTGCATTTATACCAACATGCAGGGTTATCCAAAGCTCACCTGGGATTTGCAGGCCTGACTTTGCAGTAAAAAAGTCAGCTAGACTGTGACGTTAGAAGTGACCTAGCTGACAATATAGATGTCAATATAGCCTTCTGTAAGGCTGGGTTTCCAAATGTGCCTTTACAAGAACGTTGGGGTTCCCTGGCTTTAGTTTTAAGTGAGTTTCAAGTTGAGGGGAATAAAGCTTTAAGCAATTCCACTGTAGAATTTGTAAATGAGGACAAAAATGCATTGAATGGGAGCTGCTCAGTGTACAGACTTCTGATGGGTTTGACAGCACAGCTGAAAAGTTCCTTAAATAATAAGTCTGTGATTTCTGGCAGCCTGGAAATGCTGAACTTCTTTGGATTTCAAAGCAAATAGATACATCTTAACAAAGATCACCTCTTGTCAGCTATCCTTAAAATTATAGCAGAGAGATTGAAATAAAATGTGTGTACGTGTCTCTCCTGGGACATGACGGAAGGGAAAAGCATTATCAGAATTCTTTAAACTCATCTTAACAGTATTGAACCAATTATTTTGTTAAATCTGGGTTTGTTTTCTGCCTCTCAATGAGAACATTTGAAGTCTATCATCTCCACCATTTACGAGTTACCAGTCTGCAAGTGTAAAATTTCCAACTGGAACATATGGTATCAGAGGGAACAAGGGGGAAATATCTGATTGCTCATGCTCCCCAAACTCCAAATCTACTCCATTTAGTATTTTGCTCACAGTTCCTGCAGGGGAAAATAAAAGAAATCATCTCTGATCTGAGACCAAGCACTGAACATTTCACCCTGAATAGGAATCTGTTTGAAAAACTTATAAGCAGCTGAAAAGGGAATAGAATAGAAACTACATTTCTGTTTCTTCACAATGGGCAGAACTTATCAATGCTGATAAAACCTCTCTGCACCTTCTTCTCTAAGTTCTGACACCTGTTTTGGGGCCTTGCCTGCAGCCAGCACATGGGGACAGAGCAAGTATCAGGCCAGAGACCACTTGTTGTCTTCCCTGAGGGTGTCAGTGAGGCTGGGCAGTCCAAGGCTGCCAGCAGAGCTGGGTGTGCAGGCAGTGGGGCTGCTGTGGCCTCTGCACAGGCCTGGAGATGTGCTCTGCCTCTGAGCCCCATGGCACTGGGAGGCTGTGCAGGACACCCTGCTGGCCATGCTGCCTGGATAAATCCTGCTTTGAGTTTGGAACTGGCCTGAGGCTCACCTGCAAGACCTTTGAGATCACCAGGCAGCACCAGCTGGCACTGGGCAGCCACAATGCTCCTGTAATTTGTCAGCTCCTTGCTGGCCTCTTGGTGCCCCACTGGGCTGAGCCATTCTTGCATGGGCATCCCTTTAGGTGTCACAGAGAGTGGTCATGCAGACCTTCCCTCTGGGCAGGGCAACAAGCTTCCCCTTCCTTGCCTTGCTGCAGAGCAGAGGCTGAGCCCTGAATAACCAGGCTGTGAGGTGTAAGAAACAGGCTTCCCACTCTTCTTCCTGGCAGAAGAAGGAGGTCCTAAGCCTGTAGCCCTGGGAACTGATGTGACCAAATCACAGACGAGGAGCCTTTCACTTGGCAGCAGGATGGTCGTGTAGTGCCACATGTACAACCAAACGTATCCTCCCTGCCATTCAGACAGAAAGCAGCTTGTTTTGGAGCAGCTTCCCTGGGAGGGGGAGGAACAGATGTTTGAACCAGAAGCGTGTGTGACAGTTGGGAGAGACAGCGTGGAAACGCACAGTTGAAAGGAGAAGTCTGATGGGAGTGTGATGACAGCAGCAGGACTTCAGTGACAAGGAGTGGGAAGGAGAACAAGCAGGGAGGAGTGTTACTTCAAAAGCTGAGCAAAGTGCACAAGAAGATATGTCAGGAAAGCGTCAGAGAAAGGAAGAGAGGAAATGTGAGAGTAGAGACAGGCTTTGGGATCTGTCTGCAAGCCTGTGTGACCTGTTGCCTGACAAACAGAGAAAGGAAGGCCTTTTATTCCTGTGCCTCCTTCCACGAGTTAACTCTTCTTGCAGGCAAGCTGGCTGCCAGCTCTGCTGGAGCTCTTCACGTAGTGCTCGTGGAAGGTAAAGCTGCCTCTGCTGCTCCAAAGCACCGTGACTGGGGGGTACTGAGGGAAGGTACTCTGTCAGGGATGCCCGAGCCCTTCCTCTGCCTTTATAGGGTGGCACAGTAGCCACAAGCTTTGGGACTTTGGGCACTGCAAGAGTCTGAGGAGAAGAGGTGGCAATCTCGTAAGAGTCTGCACCTCTGACTGTGCCGTGATCACAGGGGCAGCGTGTGTGAGCAGAGAGAGAGAAGAGTGCGTGAGGATTTCTCCTGCAGCAGGGAGGGACCTCTCCAGCAGTGCCTTAGCCTGGTGACATCAATCACAGCTCTGCAGTGTCTGGTTTTACCCTAGTTCAGCAGATGTGCAAGGCAGACCGGGAGCACGCTGCTGGGGTGTGAAGCCTCGGAGCTGGGGGAAGGGGCACAGTAAATTCTCCTCCTGAGGGATTTACTGAGGCAGCTCTGCACAGCCCTTCCTTCACCACTGACTTCCCAGTGTGTCTTGAGAAACGCAAACTGGTCTGGTTCTGCTTTGTGTCCTCTTGTAGGGAGGGGAGAGTTTCCTTAAGTACAGGGTGAGCCTTGGGGTACAATAATGGAGGGATCGCAAGGTAGATGCCGGTCACACGCAGCTGGGCCAGGAGCTGCAGTCTGACAGTGGAGGTTGCACGGCTGGTGGCTTTCACCCTTCATACAAACACTGACATTCATTTATTGGTGTGAAATCCCAGCAAATTAGAGGCA